TCAGCCTAGGTCACAGCAACCTCAAACTCCTGGGCTCAAGCGATCCTCCTGCCTCGGCCTCCCAGAGTGCTAGGATTATAGGCGTGAGCCACCGTGCCCGGCCTGGAATATTGTTATATGTGAAAGCGTCCTGAAAAAATTCTTCCAGCTTAAACAGAAGGAAACGAAATTAAATCTGAATTAGCTAATGTCTCTTTTGTTCCTCCAAACTTTATAAGCTTGGATGACAAAGAGTACCGATATGTATAGTTAAACAGAGCTAATGCCTTCCTGTGCTTCAGGTCTTGCAGATTGCATTGGAAGGAAACTTGCTATTCCTACTACCATATTTTGGGTTGCAGACAAGTAGCACTTTACAGAGGTGTCCTTCAAAATACAACTCAAGTTGGATCCCCAAGTATTTGACACTTAGCTGGCCTGCTGAATTTAACAAATTAAACTTCAATGGCCATGCACAGTTATATATCAATGTATTGGGCGATTGAGTTGGATATGTTTTTGTGGTGATTTAGGCTTTAATTCATAGCTCTTACTTGGTCTCTCCACATTAGAGCACTGAGATATGGAACATTGGGCTCTTTCTGCATCTTGTACAAATGAGTTTGGTAAAGAACTCTTTACTGTTTTGATGCTTATATTGGAAACAAGCTTTTGATTTTTTTCTTGTTAGGATGAGAAATTGAAACAAAATATAAATTTGACTAGTGTTAGACTTCTTAGATTATGGGTAGAATTAAAGTATCATTTTCTTTAACCACCTAGAATGTTATTCTTTTAGTTTCCCTGGAAATATTTGAGACTATACAGTAGACCTAAGTAATATCTTCTTATTACATAATCTATGTAATCAAATGTTTATAGGAATTTAAAAATTGGGATATGGCTGGGAGATCAGTGTACTTTAACTGGGTCCCATTATAAAATGTCTAGGTTATTTTACCCATACCTTTGGAAACTGTTGACAGACTATATTTTATAGTGTGGTGTTAGTACGATTGCCATTGTACAGTGTTGGAGTATAATCACTCTGGAATCTATATATTAAAGTTTTCCAGCCTTATAGGTCTCCCTTGACTGAAAACTAGCTACTAACTCACCGACTTCCTTTTAGAACAGATTGACTAGGGCTTTCTAGGAAATCTGTTGACGTGCAAGAAGAACAAAGTTTAATTGCTAAAAACTTTTAAAAAATAACTTTTTGATATTATGGATACCTGGCTATTTGGGCCTTGTATATTTCAACTTCAAAACTGACTACAATTAAATCCGTATAAACAGAAAAGAGAGCAAGTCTTTAGATTAGACCGTAAATAATGATGGGGCCTATGGTTACAAAATGTGGAACACAGACTTACCAGTTCTGAGGTTCCATTTTGCTTGCTTTTTAAAAACTGTGTCTTAGAAGTCTTCAGCACCTAGTTGGGAGATTTTTAAAAAAAAATCTTTTAATTTTATACCAGTTTAGAGACTTACAGAACAATTCTGAAGATAGTTATAGAGTTTCTGTGTACTTCACACACAGTTTTCCCTAGTGTTAATATCTTACATTAGTATGGTACATCTGTCACAATGAACAAACCAATATTGATACATTATTTTAAACTAAGGTCCATGTTTTACTCAGATTTCCTCAGTTTTCCCTTAATGCTTTTATGTTACAGGGTCCCATCCAGGATACCGCATTGCTTGTATCCTTAGTAGTACATGTCTCCTTGGGCTCCTCTTGGTTTCTTGGATACTTTTTGTTTTAATGAACTTCACAGTTTTGAGGACTAAGGGTCAGGTATTCTACAGAATGTCTCTCCATTGGGATTTGTCTCATGTTCTTTTCATAATTAGATTGGGTCCATTAGTACTTGGGAGGAAGACCAAAGAGACAGAGTGCCATTCTTATCATTTATCAAGAGTACATGCTATCAAACATGTTGATGTTGTCCTTAATCACCTGTCTGAGGTTACTGTTTGTTAGGTTTCTCTATTGTGAAATTATTCTTTATTTTCCCTTTCCACATTGTACTCTTTAGAAGTAAGTCACTATGTGCAGGGAATTATCCTCCATCTCCTTGAGGGCAGAGTATCTACATAAATTATTTGGAATTCTTCTTCATAGGAAGTTTATCTTTTCTCCCCAATTTATGTATTTATTCAATCATTTGTTTATATTAGTATGATCTCATGGATATTTTATACTCTGGGTTATAATCCAGTACTATATATTGTTGTTCAAATTGTTCCAGCTTTGGCCATTGAGAGTTCTTTCAGTTGGCTTTGACATAACTCCATCATTGTGAGTTTTTTGTTTGAGCACTTTCTTATTTTTGGCACTGCAATATGCTTCAGGCTCATTTGTTATTTCCTGCCTGATGCTAGAATCAGCTATTTCTCCAAGGAGCCCTGATTCCTTTTATTGGAGAATGATATTAGAAATCAAGATCTGGGTGCTATGTGTGCTCCTTGCTACTAGAGTGTCATTCCTTCAAGACCTTCTCAGTCGACAAGCACAGGGAGATATGTTTGCATTCTAACTTGTGTATATGCACATATCTATAAATATATACATAAAACCATCTGTATCTATATGAAGCTAAATGTGTGTTTATACCTATGTCTCCAACTCTAATCATTGTCACATGAATTGTTATAGCCACCTCTCCTTGTTTATCTGTTACCTCCCATTCAACAGTGAAAAGCCTGCTTTGGTTAGGAGATTTTTCTGTTAATATTACGTAGGGTAGTGAGTGTTTGACATTTGCTTTTGTGGTTAAGCTTAGAGAGAGTTTAGCTGTAGGGTGATTAAAAGTTCCTGAGACTAGAAATGACCCTTTTACCTTAAATGTTTCTGCCAGGTTTGAAACTTAGTATAGGTTCCAGAAACCAACTTAATGTCTTAAGAACCAGAATCTATCCCAATCTACATTTTGTCCTTCATTTTCAGATTAACTTACTCTGATACATCCAGATAAGCTGTTCCTTGGGTATGCATTTCTTTTTTCAGTTTTTTTCTAAGAGCTAAAGGACCCTGAGAACACTGGGGCTGGGAAGGGAGAGGAAAGGCATGTTCTTATGTGGAATAGGGAAAGTCCATTTAGTGACCTCCAGCTAGTCTTCCAAAGTGCCTATGTAAGACCAAAGAGTAGATAAATGCCTTCCTTGGCAATTGTTACCCAAATACAATTTTCAGTCTCTTTATTTTATTCAAGAAAATTGGCATGCTGATACAGAAAACGTGTTCTGATTAACATTGCATATGAATTAGTAACTGAAAATGAAATCGTATTGAACATAATTTTAATATTTTATGTTAGATATTAGTCTGAGATAGTGTTTCTGAAATCTGTGTAATAAGTTTGATAATAGGGAGCTCTTTTCTCAGACTTTTCCCTTCTCCCCAACATTTGATTATGAACATTTGCACAAAAGTTGAAAGAATTGTTCCGTGTATACCTACATAATCTACCACTTAGATTCTGTAATTAATAGTTTGCTATATTTGATTAAGCTTTACCTTTAAAAGAAAAAATTTCTTATGGACCCTTTAGTTTTATGGGAGTATTG